GTGGGCGCGTCCCAATCCACTCACCCTGTTCACTATATAGTGCACATAATCACCATCATCAGTCCACCGTGGGCGCGTCCCAATCCACTCACCCTGTTCACTCTATAGTGCACATAATCACCATCATCAGTCCACCGTGGGCGCGTCCCAATCCACTCACCCTGTTCACTATATAGTGCACATAATCACCATCATCCGTCCACTGTGGGTGCGTCCCAATCCACTCACCCTAGTCACTCTATAGTGCACATACAGGATATTCTTCATTATGAGTGTAGGAACGACTACAAGTGCTAATATAATGCACTATGTAGGGAATACAGTGTGGATTTGGATACTGCCCACATCTGGGATTTTGACACAGCACCAAGTGTTCATGTTATACAAATACTATACTAATAATAGCTTTTATTTATATAGCTCTCTCTCTCTCTCCCTCTCTCATAACAATATAAAACACACATGCACACACACACACACACACACACACACACGCCTGGGGGATGATGACCTTGTCTGGATTAGAGATGGTTTTTAATTATGACAATGGGCCTTTGTGCGTGTGTTCTCAGTGTACAATGGTCTCTTATATAATCTTAATAAAAAATGTAGTTTTGGATAAACTCATCGCTGAGCGCAAATCAAATCAAATCCCACAAAACCTTTCTTTTCCAGAATGTCGAGCTGCGTCTCAAATCGTGTACTCATGCACTGCTCTAGCCAGCCTTTCCATATTAACATTAAGTGAGTTCTTCAATTCCTGGTTAGTGTTTATTTAAAAAAAAAAACTCATCTGGATCTTATTAAATATTTTTAAATGTAAGGTCACAGATTTCGATTTGAGACACAGCTCATTACAGAAACTAACAGAGCGCGTTCATGCCGCTGCAGAGCGACAAAACCGTGTCCCAGACTAGCCGCATGGAAATCCCTGAACGTTCTGCAACCTGTGGAAATCGCTCAGCTCCGCTCTGCCCCCTAGTGGACATCGTCAAATCGCTGCGTCTGCACACGTACTTCAGGCTGGGTTTATACCTGACTCTACGCTCACGCTATTTTCCACACTCGTGCATGACACGGAAGTGTGATTCCAGTGACGGCGTTTCGGGATGTGACTATGACGCTGTAAAGAAGCAACAAATCCAAACAATCAGCTTGAATAAATCCTCGGATCAATCCTACACCATGTGTGGTGCGACGTTTCCTCACTTCCCCGCTCAAGACTTTAGTTCCTACCTGCAGTTATAGTTCCTGGTTACTGTCTAACGCAAAAAAAAAAAAAAAAAAAAACTTATAAGTGTGGTTTCATCTGATCCTGTTCCATCTCTCGCTGTCATTAAGTGTGTATAGAGACGTTAGGAAGAAAAATAAAGCTTGGAAGAAAGGAGCAGATCGTCGGTGTCTCTGGTGAGCGCACGTAGCTAGTAGGTAGCTAGTACGAAGTTGAGTACGAATTTTCACCCTGATTAGCGCGTTATATATATATGTTATGTTATAACTTATACAGTTTCTCATCAGACATTAAAAAAATGCTGGACAGGCCACGCCCACAACAGACAGACTACAATTGACTCGAGAGACTTGACACCTGCTAGTATGAATGTAGAGTGCTGTTTAGAGCAGCCATTTTGAATTTTTTTTAAAAATGATTATTAGTAGCATACAGTACCACATTTCAAGTAAGTATATGAAGACTCGGGCGTGTATTTCCAGAACAATTTTTGGGAGTGATAGACTTTTGTTTACTTTTTTATCTCCAGAAGAAAACCAAATCGGCATGCATCAGACACCGAACATGTCTTCGTCTTTGGTAAGTTGCCCTTTGGTAAGTTTGCGTAAGTTGCCCAGACCACCTCAACTCAACGGGTCTACTCCGAGGTTCTTCTGAAACGCCCTCCATACTGGACATCTCTCCAACCTTGATGTGGCTTGATATTCGGTCCATGGAAACCGCAAACAGGAGTGGAGCCAAGATACACGCTTGTCCTAACATCCGCCTTTCGACTTAACGTCAATAATGCACACACAGCTCAGATTCCCAGGTTCCCCGTACTCCTGCGTACTCTCATGATCCCTCATGAAGAGCTTGTCCACTGTTCCACGGTCTGGGAGAAACCCGCTTTGTTCCTCCAGTATCATTTCCAGAACCCTGGTATTCCTGTGAGGCAAAGGAGTGTGAGTCCCTTTATAAATGGAACGCAATATCTGAACACCAGTCCCAAGGCACTGTCCCAAATCTCCATGCAGCATTGCAGAAGTGGTTCAAGCACATGACCCCAACCTTATCTAGTGACTTCAACGTCTCTGGCCAAATCTCGTCCAACTCTGCAGCTATGCCAGTGCGAAGGTCATTGTAACCTCAACCACAGAGCTGGAGGTTCCTCAAAGTGCTCCTTCCATTACCACATAAACACTTACACTGGAATACTTACAGTGTGGAGTGAAAATAAAGTGTAGTGTGTGTTTTTGGACACATCAGACCACATTCCTATATCACATGTATATATGAAATGTTCATGTCTTTTAGGTACTACAAGAAGGGAAATTTTAGGCGTGGCTAGACAAGTGTGTGTGTGTGTGTGCGCGTGTGTGTGGGATCAAGATCATATCACACCCTATAAATAGGGAGCATTGCTGAATCAGCAATGTACATCCATGTGTTATTGTAAATGGACACCATGGGTCTGGTGTGTGTGTGTGTGTGTGTGTGTGTGTTTATCGGCTTAATCCTGCAATGTTCACATAAATAACATTGTTCCTGCTCCAGACTTTAGCTTTATAGCAGTACAGCAGTATCAGTAACATGACCGTGTTAATAAGATAAACCGAAAGAGATGGTAGCTGACTAGCGTACATGCTGAGCTCAGGAGTAAAACTAGAAATCCTTGGCCGCCTGACAAACGCCTACAGCTCTCCTCACTCCAGCACTCATGTTCCAGTGCCCTTGTCTACGTTTGAATCCTCCTGAATCATTCAGGGCTTCCCCGCCCTTACAGCGCCCTCGGCTACACCTCCTGAGAACTCGCCTGCTTTTAAATAATATAGGAATCTGAAATCAGCACCCTGTATCGCCTTACCTACCTGCCAAGTCGCCTTCTCTTACCAAGCAAACTTTATTGTAGAAATGCGGAACATTGATCAGTACGATGCCGATAAAAAGTCGTGGAGCAAATGGATAAGAATAAGAGCAAGAAAAAAAAGTTATTATAGAGCATTTTTCACTCGGAAATCACTCGCTGCGGCTGAGGATGGACCACACGGACAGCCTAAAGATACATGAGATTACTTAGAAACCATGAAGATGGCTTTGGACTTCAATTCCCACAAACAGTTTTGCACTCGAGTCTCCATCAGTGAACGGTTGATAACTTCAACAAAATAAACTTCATGTGTAAACTATAATGAATTTCCTGGTTACACATTTGTACTATTTGTCCATGTAGTACACAGTTATAGAAGGGGTTTATTTATAATCACACTATCCGTTACACCCAGATGAGGATGGGTTCCCTTTTGAGTCTGGTTCCTCTCAAGGTTCCTTCCTCATATCATCTCAGGGAGTTTTTCCTCACCACCGTCGCCTCTGACTCACTCATAAGGGATCAATGTAGAAATTTAAAATGTATATTCTGAATGTATTTATTTCTGTAAAGCTGCTTTGTGACAACGTCCATTGTTAAAAGTGCTACACAAATAAAACTGAATTTTTAATTTCCAATAAATTTCATCGTGGCTTACAAAAGAAAACAAATCACACTGGTGATGAGACAAGAAATGAAACATGAGATGAGACAAATTGGATCTGACAAATAAGATCAGACATTTGAGATGATACAAAAGATGAGACATGATATGAGAGAAGAGATGAGACAAAAG